ATCTCTCTGTTCCCATCTGCCAAGAACAAACCAAAGCAACGAAAATGGTACCCAACCTCCTTTGTAACACAAAAATATTCTCTCCTCTGTTCAAACTTTAAATTTGCTCCAATTCACTTTCTTTAATGGCTTCCAGTTCACTTCTGCAATCTTCAATCAGGCAGCGGATTGGCAATAAATATTTGATAGCTGTGATAATGTACAGATCTGCCTCGCAAAAGGCTGCCAGCTCGGGGAACACAACCATCTTCAGTCAAGTTGCCCGCTCCCTGGTCAAGAAGCCGCCGGGGGAGCGAATTCCTTAATGACTGCATTTTTCCCTGAGGTTTTAAACTCATTTTCTCAGTCTAGGCTCTCTTTGCCCTTTATAAACATGTTGACTTTGTTAGTCTCTTCCCACATCCAGCTTTTATTTTGGTTTTGTTGGACCTCATTCTGCCAGTCTGGCCAGTGCAGTCCATTTGGCAGAGCCCCTCGGAAAGGATGGAGAGGAGGGAAGGGCCAAGGAGGGCAAGACCCCAGGGGCAGGCTCGCATCCAGTCTCTGCTCAAGAGGCCAGTGACTTCCTTCACACTAAAAATAGTGATGGAAAAAAAAGTTTATCTTCCCAACTTGAAAAAAGAAGTGTTTACAAAATGACTTTAGTCTTGCTTCCTGATTGAAATTATTTTTCAAATGTCTTTGGTGGTGAAAGATTAACAACTTATTGGATGCGGCATACTACTTTTTTTTCCTAAGGGGGAAAGAATCTCCACATCCTTTCAGCCAATGGGCTAACACAAGGTATCCGGAAACCACAGCTGGGACGTCTCGCCTCCCACGGCAGAGCAACTGTGACTGTCCTCTAGGCCACGTGTGCAGAGCCCTGCAATCTTGACACCCCAGAGGAAAGCTGGGAAAGGAAGCAGGCCCAGGTTTGAATTGATGGGTTCTCCAACCCAACAGGTAACAGAGAGAGGAACTCCTGACGCTCAGGGCCTCCATGGGATAGCTATTCTGGCCCGGCCTCCCTCTGCAGAGACCCCTTCCCCACCTCTGGAAGAGAATCGAGGACATCCCAGGTGTTTACACCCTTTCAGCCGAAGGCTGGCCCTTCACACCAGAGTGCTGAGAGGAATTGAGTGAGGACAACTGAGAAGTCACCTCTCTTGACAGACACAAAATTGGGTTTTTCCTCCATCCTCATTTACAAACACAATTTCTAACCCATTGCTATAAAAATACAAAGAACTGTGCAAAGGACACATCAAGTAAGTAATAAAAATAACACCCTCACTCAGGGACCCGGTGCACAGGAAACAGCGAGTACTCAGCCATTTTTCTTAAATACTGTGACTATTGTGAAGTCTCACTTTGTTGGAAGGATTCTTTATCAGCCTTTTAATATGGAAGATTGTGACCTCAAGAGACTGAAGCTTAATACTTAGGACTTCAACTTCAGGGGAGGGGAGGAGCCCGAGGTATAAGGGTCTAACCGCATCAGAAATGGCCCACCTCTTAGTTGCCCACACCAGGGCCTCACTGATGGTGACACCTGGGGCTCCACACCATCCCAAAGGACATTCACAACAATTCACCTAGGCAGGCAGCTTGGGGAAGGGCTATGCCATTTTTCAGATGGGGAAACTGAGGCACAGAGACACTAAATGCCTTGCCCAAGGTTAAACACTCAGTGAGGGACTCTGGCTTGGAGATCTGCTTTTCTAATTTCAAACTGATGCAAAGCACCTCAAGCTAAAACCACAGCTGTCAATTTCAGGTTAAGAATCCATCCACTGAAATCACTTTCCTGGACAAATCGCTGGCTGAAATGGGTCTTTCTTTCTTTTTGTTAAGGTCTACATGCGAATTATTCCAAACTTTTTTAGCCTCTCCTCTCCCCCCCCCAACAAAAAAGTACACTAACTCTCTTCATTGTTTCCTTTATTACTATTTCACTGCGGTAACTAGAGAGCAGCACCCGCCAACAGAACCTTCTGCAAGTTCTACGCTGTCCGATATAGTGCCCACGAGCAACATGCGGCTCTTGAGTACAAGAATATGGCTAGAGCAACTGAAAGAACAGAATTGTTAATTTTATTGAATTTTAATTAATTTGAACCTAAATATGCACCTGTGGATAGTGGTTACCATTTGGGCAATGAAGCTACAGAAGAAAACAATCCCTTCACTTCGTGATTCCGCTGAGATTTCTCTATATGTACATGCAGATTTCAACACAGATTCTCCTGTGTGTGTGTGTGGGGGGGGTAATTTGAAGAGCTTTTGTCTCCAAATGGGAAAATTCACACTAGGTAGACAGGAAGTCAAAATAATGCCAAGCTGAAAAGCTGGGCTTGGGCAATGAGACAATCCTCCCTCCACTATGTATTATCAGCAAGTTACTTAACATCCTTAGGCGTCAGTCTCCTCTGCTTGCAGAATGGAAATAATTGCTACACGCAGGGCGTTAAGCACCTATAAAATCTTCAGTGCATCGCATGCAAGTAACCTAAGACAATCATTCTATTTGTACAATAGCAATACCTAAAATTTACAGGCAGCATTACAGTTTTCAAAAACCTTACACATATTCCCTTTTTCCTTCTTTGCACTACCCAGTGAATACCACGATTTCAGTTCCCCTTTTTATTTTTACACACACAGAAAATGACGCCCAGAAGAGGTGCAGGCCTTCAAGGTCAATGTCAGAGCATGACAGGGTGAGCCCTTTCACTAGCTCAAGCCATAGGAGGGTAAAGGCTGCTTTTCTAGCTAAGCAGTACCTGTCACGATGGAGTTAGATTCGGGGGTTCTAGTCACCTCTTTGCAAGCTATGGAGCCCATTTAAACCCTCAAAACAGCCCATCCAGGCAGAATCTTGATGCCATCACACAGATTTGAAAATTGAGGCCCCAAAAGATGAAGGTAAGATTCAAAACCAATTATGACACCATGCACTCTCTACCCAGTCCATTAAAACACCCCAGCTTCCAGGAAGGGTAAGGTTTGGGAGATGGAGGGATCAGCGTGTGAAATTCAAATGGGGGTGTTGATAATGATAATTCCTGGACTGACCATGGCCTGGACAGAAGCCAACTCCAAGGGATCCAGTGACACAGGCCCTGCTGGTGGTGAGGTAGCCTCTCCCTCATGCCCCACTGTCCCCTCACGGGGGCCTGCCTTGCTCCTGGTGTCCTTGGGACCTAGAGAATACATGGCATCTAGCAGCAGCTGGGCACACTTCTGAAGCCTCACTAAGATGCTGTTGCACTCAGCTACTGATCTGGTTCACATAACTGACAAAAGGACCCCAGCTTTTGCAACATTCACTTTCAGATATCTCCATAATAAAATGATCATTATTCTTTGCAAACTGCATCTTCTTTAAAACTACTAGCAAACATTAAGTCTCTGAGCCCACTAAGGGGGCAAAATGCACATCACCAAATAAAACATCAAAAATGTCCATTTTTGTCCCACAGGTGTGTGTTCACTTAACAGCGAGAATCCCTTCAAGGGGCTATTTTAATAAGTGGGTCAATGATGAACTTCAACTTTTATCCCTGGATTAGTCAGTCAGCTGGGTGGTTTTCCACGAAAATCTGCAGCACATTTGAAACATTAACATCCTTTAAAATAAAACCATCGTCTTAACGTTTTAATTGTTCCATACTCAACATTATTGGTTCCTTCCTTTCTTTTCCGCCCCCCCCCCCCAATCGCGTCTATCCTAGGAATGACTAGTAGTAAACTTTTCATAAAATCATCAAGAGCCATCTGCTACCCCAAAGCCACCGCTTGGGACCTTAGAAGGGCGCTCCTCTCCCCCTCTCCCTCTCCCTCCTCCTCCCCTTCCAGGTTAAACCAGGGACTCGGGCGGCGCGTCAGGAGAGAAAAACATCCAGAAGTCAGGTCAAGCCACATGTGACAATGCAAAGCAGAAACAGCTGCAGATGCAATAGGAGGTGGGTTTTTGTTTCTTTTTGGGTTTTGCTCCACAGTATTACCAACTAGGAAAAAAAAAAACACCTCCCATTCTAACTTTGTGGAATTTCCAACGCTGTTAGCTCAGAGAACGCGAGGCCGGCCGTGCAATCAGCAAGCCCGGGCCGGGGCCTGACGGCGCACGGGCGACGCACGTGAAGTCCAGGCCCTATCCCAGCGCTAGCGGGCCTCTAGCGACCCCAAACTGTCACACACCCATCGACCACCGACACCCGGAGGCGCATCCCGCACCCTGTTCGGAGTAACGACCCCCTCAGTGGGGCAGTCCCCTGGGGAGCAGGACCCAGGAAGCGGATCTGGGGGCACCCCCTCCCCCGAGCCGGGGAGCAACAGGTCTGCACCCTCCCAACGCCGCGCTCTGCAGACTCCGCCTGACCAGGGGTGCCCCCTTCACCACCGATGTGGACCCCCGCCCGGGCCCCTCGCTCGGGCCGGGGTGCTCCCGACTTCCTTGACAGTTTCAGCGCCTCGGAAACTGAGCAGCCGCGGGGCCAGCGCAGCCTCGCCCGCCACTCACTCCACTGCGCGGCGCCGCGCCTCCACCTGGTCCGGGGCGGGCCCGCCGGCCGGCGCGGGGATGAATGAGGCTCCCCTCCCCCACGGGGGTAGCCCGCGGCGCCGCAGGTTCGCCCCGCCAGCCCACGATCGGCAGACAAAGGGGCACCGAGGGCGAGACCCAGCGCTTCCCCAAACTTACCGACCGCCTCCCCCTCCCCAAAACAATGGAGCCCCCTCCGGTCTCCGCCCGCCCCGGACGCGCCGGCACTTTGGGGAACGGCCACCTCGGGGTATTGTTCAGCCTGCAGGGAGCGCGCCGCACACCAGCCCGAGCCCTACAGACAGTTAGGGACCTGCCCCTCCAGAGCCCCGGAGGCGGCCGGAGCGGGCAGGCGTCCGGAACCGCCGGGAAGCCCCCCGGGGGGAACCAATCGCCGAGCCCCCCGCCGGACAACCGGACAAGTTTGCGTCCCTCGCCCCGGCCCGGCCCGGCCGGCCGAGCCCCGCGCACTCACCTCGCCGCGGGCAGCGCAACTTGTGGCGGCACCGCCGCGCCGGCTGCGCTCCGCGCCTCCCTCCGGCCTGCCGTCGCCGAGCCCGGGCCGTGCGGCGGCCGACGAGGGCCCGGCGCCTGAGCCGCCCCCGCCGCCCCGGCCGCCCAGCGCCGCCGCCGCCGAGTCCCCGAGAGGCGCGGGCGCTGGAAAGTTTCGGGTGCCGAATGGCGGCCGAGGGCGCTGCGGCGGCGGCGGCGAGGCGGGGGCGCTGGAGGCTCCTCGCTCCCGAGCGCCGGGGGGGGCTGGGGCGGGAGCGGCGGCGGCGGCGGCGGCGGCGGAGGGCGGGACGGCGGGAGGGCCCGGCACGGGCAGTGACCTCCGGGGGGAGCGGCCGCTAGCGCGCAGACCCGGGCCGGGAGCACGGCCAGGGGCCCCTCCCCCCAGCCCCTCCCCTGCGCCCCGGGGGGCCGCGTCCCAAACCCCCCCTCCTCTCGGAGAGTGGGGACACGAGGCCTGCCCCTCCCCCCCCCGGCGAAGGAAGAGAGTCTGCGCCCCCCCCACGGCCCCTCCCCCACGGCCTCTAGGGAGGCCCCGCGTCCCAATCCTGCCCCTCCCCCACGGCAGAGGGACCTGCGACCCCACACAGCCCCTCTCCCCAAGCTCTCCCCTGCCCCCCACGCCTAGGGTGGGTGAGGGGAACCCCGGCCTCTCCCTCCTTGCTCCGAACCCTGTCCCTTCCCCGTGGCCTCCACTGGAGATGAAGGGAACCCGGGCCTGCCCCCCACTCAGTCCCAAACGCAGCCTTTCCCCCACAGCCTGGAGGGGACCGGAACTCGGGCCACCACCCCGGAGGTTTCCAGGGGAGAGGGGAGCCCGGCCGCTGCTAGAATGTTACCCTCCCCCATCTCAAAAAAGACGCCGCCCGGCTGCCTCTACAGATCCCCCTGCAACCTGGCCAAGGGTGCAGCTCCCTCAAACTCGGCCGTCTAGAAGACGCCCCGATGGTGTCTCCTCCCACCCCAAAACGTTGGGGCTCAGGTTGAGCCTCGACATTGGCAAACCCCTCCCGGGAAGAGGCAGAAATGCTTGGGGAGAAAGAAACTCGGACACACAGGGGTGGAAGCCAGGAGCTCGGCTGTGGGGGCTCCGGGGGGTTGGGGGGACCCGGGCCCGCGGGGCCTCTTCACCCCCCCACCCCCACCCCCACCCGCAGGCTTCAGACCTCTGGCGTTTGCAAAGTGTTTCATGTTGCAATGGCTTACTCGGCCGAGCCCTAGTGCACCCAAGTCCCCAGCGCTCCCTCCTTCCCTCCACTTTGGTGACAACTGCCCCCCGCTCGCGGCCTTAATTCAATTAAAGATACCCGCACCCCCAACCCCAGCACCTCTGGGGTCTGCTTTGTGGAATATTTTAAAGTAAGTTCGCCCCTCCCTTTGGTGTATAACGAGCTTCGCGCCAAGAGCCCAGTACACTCAGCATTTTAAACTGTAACCTCACTTGCTCCTTTCTGGGACACTGGACCATTTGTTGTTCTGGTTGTTGTGGGGAGGGGGCCCCAGGTGAGTTTTTAAGGGGCTAGTCCTTCCTCAAAAAGGCAGACCTAAAAATTACCCTGCCAAATATTGCTGTAAAACGTCAATGATGTAAAACGACTGTTGCTACACCATTATTAGAGCACATCAATAAAAAATACACTTACACAGTCTCCATAATTGTGAATCAGCAGAATAGATTGTGTCTTATTATGTGTCAGTTGCCATTCAAGACCCCCCAAAAGGACGTGGTGGGGCCTTTCCTGGAGCCTGCCCGTCGTTGCTCCCGGGCTCCCTGGGCTCGTGCAGACTGATGCTGAGGTATTACATGCAATCGAAAAACCAAGGGTGCAATAGAAAACCCGAGCGAGCTCATGATGCAACCCTGCCCCGGTTACACGTGCTTCCCTTCCCCCACCGCCTGCTGGTGGGAGCGCTGCGTTTTTTCCGCCTGTAGGGTCACATTGTGGTTGATTGATTCTCCTTTCGCCTTGCTCAGTCATTCAGATTTGGAAAGTAAATAACAAGTTGACATCATTACTGCTCTCGGCTTTACGGGGACGCGGCCCTCGGCTACCGCACACTCTCGAGTAGCCGCGCAGCCCAGCTGGCCCTCTGGCTTGCCAGCCCCGCTTGTCTTTAGCTGCCTGGAAATGCCGAACTGAACTTGATGAAAAGGCCTCTTTGTATGTTTCGATTACTTGGCAGATGCCAATCACTTAAAGTATGAGAAAGTGGTGGAAATCCTCGCCCCAAACGTGATCCAGTGTGACCAGTCTTTACAGCTGGTCCTCGAGAACTAACGCTGCAAGGGAGCTCAGAATCCACCTTGGCTGTTTGATTATGTCCCAATAATTCCAAGGGTCTTCTTGCATGTAAGGAGTGGAGCGCTTTCATCATAGACTCCTAGGACCCCCAGGGGACTTGGTAAGACCGCAGACAGGAAAAGAGACCCCTTACGTTTATCATAACATCACCGAAATTCCTCTTCCTGAAATGCTAGATGGGTGGTAGGTGGGTGGTAGACTATTTCATTTAACCTGTTTTGCAGATTTTTCAAATGTGCAGTCTTATAAGGTGGGAGAAAACAATGAAAAGAGGAAAGAAAGTAGAACAGGGAAGGAGCTAGCGCCTTCTGGCCAAAGCAAAGGTTAATATGCAGGACGTGAGCCGCGATGATTTCCACAGGGACCCGCTGCCCAACGTCTATGTTCTAAGCAATGATTTTTTCGTTGCTAACTGGGGGGACCTGGAATATAAGAAGCTGCTTGCAACAAATGCTATCAGTATTCCCCTTAAGGAGTAGCCGGAATTTTCCTTAAAGGCAGGAAGGATCCACACCAGCAGACTTAACTAATCCTTGACCTAGGAGGAAAGCCATTTCAGTGGGGAAGGAAGATCCTTTTTAGCAAATGGTGCTGGAACAACTGGACATCCATATGCAAAATAAAAAAAAAAATTAATCTGGCCACAGAGCTTACACTTTTCACAAAAATAAACTCAAAAGGTAAAAGACAAAAGTATAAAACTCCTAGAATATAACATAGGAGAAAATCTAGATGACCTTGGGTCTAGCAAGGAGTTGTTTTGTTTTGGTTTGGTTTTTTGCTGAGGAAGATTCACCCTGAGCTAACATCTGTTACCAATCTTCCTCTTTTTTGTATGTGGGCTGCCGATACAACATGGCTGATGAGTGGTATATATCTGCGCCTGGGATCCGAACCTGTGAACCCGGGCTACTGAAGCGGAGCTCATGGAGCTTAATCACTAGGCCTCCGGGCCAGCTCCTGGCAATGAGTTCTTAGATAGAACATCAAAAGCATGATCCACAAAAGAAAAATATTGACCAATTGGACTTCATTAAAATTAAAAACTGCCCGGCAAAAATCACTGTTAAGAGAATGAAAAGACGAGCCCAGACTGGGAGAAAGATTTGCAAAATCCATATCTGATAAAAAATTGTATCCAAAATATACAAAGAACTCTTAAAACTCAACAATAAGCAAACAATCGAACTTAAAAATGAGCAAAAGATCTGAAAAGAACGCACCAAAGAGATACAAAAATGGCAAATAAGCATATAAAAAAATGCTTAACACCATGTATCACTAAGAAATTGCACATTAAAACAACTCCATACCACTATACACCTATTAAAATGGCCAAAATAAAAAAAGAATGACAATATTATATGCTAACAGGATGCAGAGCAATGAAAACCTCATTCATCAGTAGTGGGAATACAAAACGGCATGGACAGTTTGGCATTTTCTTACAAAGCTACACATAGTCATACCAGCACTTACAGCTATCCTGCTCCTAGGTATTTACTTAACTAAGTTGAAAACTTATGTCCATACAAAAACCTGCACCGGAATGTTTATAGCAGCTTTACTCAGTTACCAAACAGTGAAAGTAACCAAGATGTCCTTCACTAAGTGAATGGATAAACAAACTGTGGTACATCCATACAGTGGGATATTATTCAGCAATAAAAAGAAATGAGCCATCAAGCCGTGAAAAGACATGGAGGACCTTAAATGCTAAGTGAAAGAAGCCAATCTGAAAAGACTACGTACTGTATAATTCCAACTGTATGACATTCTAGAAAAGGCAAAACTAAAAAGATCAGTGGTTGCCAGGGGTTCTGGGGATGGGGGGGAGGGGTGACTAGGTGCAGCACAGGATTGCTAGGGCAGTGAAACTATTCTGTATGACACTGTCATGGTGGATACGTGCAATTCATGCATTTGTCCAGACACGTAGAACTGCGCATCACCACGAGTGAGCTCTACGGTAAACCATGGCCCCTGCCCGTGCTAGTTCATTAATTGTAACAAATATGCCACACTTATGAAAGATGTTAACACTGGGGGGGGGGGGGGGGGGGGAGGCTGATAATATGGAAAATCTCTGTGCCATGTGCTCAGTTGTTCTGTAAATCTAAAACTGTGCTTAAAAAAAAGTCTAGTATTTTGAAAAAAAAGACACAAGACAGTAGGAAGAGGTGTTAAACTTCTCATGAGACTTATTGCCCAGTGTTCATTGAATCCAATATCTAATTTTCCCCAGACCCACCTTATTTTCAGAGAGTCCTAACACGTAGGCCCGTGTTTGTTTCTATGACTGGCCTACTCAGAAAGCCCTGAGACTCCGAAGATCGACCCAAACTTCTGCAATCCACCCGCCTCACTGTGAAATTACAACCTTAATGCCTGCCCCTTTCCTTTCCTACTCTGTTTTACCAACTAGAGGAAGTTGGAAGAGATCTGATCATCTCTTTAGCAAAGGGGTTGGGGAAAGGTCAAGTAAGATCCCTGCCCAATTTATCATGTGATATATGTGAGCCACTCAAAAGAAAGAGCAGATAGTATAGACAGATCCCCAGGTGCAAGTGGAAAAGGCCAAGCAAAGTCCCAGGTTGCTTTGAAAAGCAATGGTATTGACTATTTGCCATGCATAAAGTCCCTCTCCTGATTGGCAAATTATTCATGTCTGTTCCCTGGATTACTTTAGAATGGGAAGCACATGGAAGTGTCATTCGGCAACCTCCAGATGTATGTATAGGCTGAATAGAAGTAAGGTCTTGCTCTCCCAAGACTCTGAAGTTGAAGATATGCTCGACACAGCAATGATCTTTCCTTGATGTTTGTAGGAGTGCATCTTTGCTTTGAGTAAGTGTCCACCACGAGCTTCCCTTATGAAACAAGAAAGGGGAGTGTGCTTCCCAA